TGGTTGAGAGTCCGCCTGCCGATGCAGGGGGACGCGGGTTCGTGCCCCGGTCCGGGAGGATCCCACATGTCGCGGAGCGGCTGGGCCCGTGAGCCGTGGCCGCTGAGCCTGCGCGTCCGGAGCCTGTGCTCCGCAGCGGGAGGGGCCACGACAGTGAGAGGCCCGCGTACCGCCGGAAAAAACAAAAAAAAAAAGACTGCTGTAAAAGCATAGGACACTTTACCCCTCTTAAGCACACATCCAAGGGAGGAGAGGTCCCTCACTGCCCAAAACAGCTTAATTGTTTCCACAGGACTTCAGACCTTCCGTGTCTGACACACAGAAGCAGGTGTCTGGGACAAGCAACTGAGGGGCCCAGAGGTCCCACGGGGACTGTGCAAACAGGTGTTCCCAGCAACAAGGAACGTGCCCTGTGTACCTGGAGCACGAAGTGGGAGTCCGCTGGCAGGACCCCCCAGGAGGCTGCACCTGGAATCCCCAAATCTCAGGACTTAACTAACTGCCACTCCCCTCACCCACCCGAGACCCCATAGTCACACTGGCCGAAGCAACGTTCTGCTACATCTCAAGTCCACTCGCTGCCACTGCCCTCGTGCGGGACTCATCCCTCTCCCACAGGCTCTTCTGATGACTTCCCGATGGCTCTCCCTGCGGCCCGTCTTCTGCCAGACTCCAAGCCACACCCAGGTGGGCCGCTGGAAGGACCTTTATCCGCCATGATCTGACCACGCCACTTCCTTCAACAGCTCCCTGCTGCCCTAAAGATGACCCTCAAACTTCTGACCAAGCTAACAGGGCCTTGCACCGGCGCAACTTGCTTGCTCCTCCAGCCTCACTGCTTGGGTGAGCTCAGTAAAAGAAACATCTGTCTGTGGCGCGCTCCTTCTCACCAATGGGCATCCACATACCATTCCTGCCTGTGCCTAGAGCCTGCCTCCTTCCCTCCCCACAACACGCGCCCCTCTGTCTGTCTCTCTAGCTCTCAGTTTTCATGTCGCTTCTTCCAGGGAGCTTTCCTTGACTCCCCCTGTGCTTCCACAACACCCTGCACTTCCCTTCACAGTGTTTAGCACATGTGAGGCCATCACTCACTCATCTGCTGCTCGTGGTCACGAGTCACTAAGCTCCTTGAGAGGAGGAACTAGGTTTAGCTCAGTGACCTTTTTTCTCTAGCACCTACGATAGTATCTGCTTCCCAGTGTGCAGATGTTTGAATGAACGAATGAGCACCTCATTGACAGAGGGTTCACCTCTTCTGAAAGCAGCCCATTCGACTGTAGCAGAGTTCTGACTGTGATGGTTTCAGTCCAAAATTCATGCTCAGCCCATGGTTTTCCAGATTTGCAACCTATATGGGGACTCTAGTACATGTCGTATGCTCCTCTGCACAGGAACCACTGTCTCAGAAATCCCAGACTGACTCCCTCATTCATTCAATCCACACCTATTTATTGAGCATCTACTATGGGGCAGCAGTACTTTAAGTGCTGAGGATTCAGCAGAGAGCAGCTGCCACATCCGCTCAGCCTTTCCTGGGCTGGAGAGGAGCTCTGAGCCCGGCACCTGCGCACACCTGGCTTTTGATCAGCTCATCATCCCGTTGTATCTGGAGCACGTAGCCCGTCCGGCAGCTCACAGTGCACTGGGCACCGTGGTAGCGGTCACTGCTGGAGCAGTTGAGAGAAGCGTTCTCCACAGCCAGCTTCGGGCAGTCAGCGGCCTCACATGCGAAGTGCACGCAGCTGAGGAGGAAAGAAACAAGAGGGTGAGTGGGCGTTTTCTTGCAGGACGACTGCACTCCAGCTGGAAGACAAAACCTCATGGGCTTCCTCTCCAAATCTCCGGAGGCTGAAACTGGAGACACAGAGAGTGAACAAGACTCTGGAGGCAGTGGTCAAAGTTTATCGCTAAAAGCACAAGTTATGGAAACAGACAAACCAGAGTTCAAATCCTACAGCTTGAAAACCTTATACGTTATGAATCTTCAAACCTTGCAGAACCTCAGTTTTTCCGTCTGCAAAACGGGGATCATTATGATTACGGCAAGTATTCTTTGAGTCTCTTATCTGCCAGGCACTGAGTTGAATGAAAGCCTCTTCATATTTTATAACAGTACTCACTTCCGAGGGTCGCTGTGAGAATTAAATCAGATAGTTCAGCAAAAGCACAGAGTGGAATTCCTGGCACATAAAAGCACTCAATAAATGGTAGCTAATGGTATGAATAAAACTATGCTCTATTACCTAGCAGCTGTCTAACTTAGGCAAAGTCCATCACCTCTCTGAGCTTCAGTGTACTCTCCAATTCGGCCAACCTACAGGTCCATGAGATTCAACTGGGGCACTGAAAGTAGAAGTCTTTTATAAACTGTAAAGTGACTTATGAATTGTTAGAAAAGTTGTGCAGAGATCATGCCATTCATCTTCAAGTCCGAGCTCCATCTAAGTTTCTACAGGAAGCTTTCTCGTGTCCCAGGCAAGCTCCCCCTGCCGCACTGGGCCCTCCTTTCTCTAGAAGCCTGGTCCCTTGCTTCATGCATTGAAAACACAGGTCCTGGGTGCCCACCACGTGCCGGAATGTGTGCTAACCCTTAAGGAAATGCAAAAAACATAACACCCCTGTGCTTAGGTGATCCTTCCCCTCATACTACCGTCATGCAGACGCTTAATAACATTAGTGACTATTCACTGATTGCTTATATACATGAGCTCACCCATCCTCACGGCAACCCTATGAGCTAAGTGTTATTCATTCTACAGTTGGAAAAATCGGGGACCGGCAAGATCAAGTTACTTGTTTAAGTTCCCATCCGGATGTGTGACTCCAAAGTCCTTGCTGTTAACCTCACCTCACACCTGGACTAGAACTTCCCTGAGGGTAGAGATAATGCCTGTTTCACCTCAGTACACTTCGCTCGCACTGCCAATAAAAATGCCTTGGATGAAATAGCTGTTTCCTAAACAGCAAGAAACAAATGGTGGCAGTGTCTTGCAATAACTCTTAAGCACTATGCAGACGTTGACACGTTGATTTTGAACACTGAAAGCTTCCAGGAGGCAGTTCTCTCTAACTTGCCCCTCTGACTCTGTCTAACACAACGCCTGGCATACGGTATGCACAGACAGCTAGGTTGCCAGCCAGAGCCTCAAAGCTTTCTTTTTCCTGTTTCTATCTAGGACACAAGGAGCGGTGGGTGGTCAAACCAACTTAAGAAGAAATTCCCAACTTTTTTCTTGGTGCCAGTTTCCAGGATACCCCACTGAGGATTTTATAGGAACATGGTTACTCAGCCCCACTCTCTATCCCCTGCTCAAAAGTATGGTAAGAATTAAAGTGGGATAAGTGGGGTGGGCGGTGCGGGGGCGGGTGTGAGGCGCTAACATCTCTAAAACTTATCACAAACAAATTCACTTTTAAAATACCCAGACAAGGGCAAGCTCTAGCTTCAGGTCTCAGACCCGCACCGATGTGAGCTCTGCAGTCTCCACATACCGCCTCCCCTTTCAGAAATGCAGGGTGAGTGGGATTAAGTGACACTTGCTGAGCTGTCCTGATTCTCCGCCCTTTTTCCTGCCCCTGACAGCCTCTGCGGGGCTCCATGTGGAGACTGTAGCTGTGGAGTCAACGCAGGGTCTTTGACACCAAACAATGCATCTGTTCACGTTGTGTAAGCGCTGGGGGAAAGAGCCACATGGTTCCAATTTAAATAGATTTACTCTGTAAGCTACCAGCTCCCAAGCCAGTCTTCTGACCTTTACCTTACAGTTTGGCCGTTCTCGCCCTGCACTCCCAGGAGGTACCTGGGCTCCCATCTGATGACCACCAGGGGGGGCTGGGCTCTGGGAACTCTTTTTGAAAGACAATGGCTCTGGGCTTCTCTGGGGCCATTAAGATAAAAACAGCACCCTCCCTCCTTCTGCGCTTATTAAGGTTCTTCTCTGCAGGAAAAGGATTAACTGGAAAACTTGGTTTCCTAGGATGGAAAGAACCTAGGGCTTAGCAAGTGGGCAAACTTGGGAGCCCCAGCTCTGCCATTTATCAGTTGTTTGATCTTGGAAAGTTATGTAACACCCTGAGCCTCAGTTTCCTCCTCTGTCAAGTGGAGGTGATAAAATGATCCACCTCTCAAGACTGTCAAAACCAGGGGACATGTCAGCCACTGGCTCATCCATTCAACACACTTGCCTGGGGCTCTCGCTGCGCAGCAGACACTGTTCTAGACGCTAGGGCTACCGTGGAAGAGTCCTGTCACCGTGTGTATTTGAGGAGGGAGGACATGTGCCCCAAAAAAGTAATCGATAAGCTTGTTTTAGATAGTGATGCATACCGTAAGGGCACTAAACCCAGGTGACATTATAGAGGGTGACTGTTAGGGGAGGGCTGGGCAGGACAACACACACAGAGGGGTCAGGGGAAGCCTCCTCGGGGACACCTGAACTAAGACCTGGATGAGACGAAGGGATTAGCCATACAAAGGTTTGGGGCAGAAGGAATTCCAGGCAGAGTGAAGGGCATGTGCAAAGGTCCAGCACAGGTTGGAGCTCAGCGTGTTTGCAGAGCTGAAAGGTCAAGGCATGAGAAATGCTTTAGCAACTATGACTCTCCATGAGAAGGCGGTCTCTCTCCTCCGGCTCTTCCTACTATGAAGGAAAACAGTCACTGGTCATATGAGTTACCTGACCAAACAGGCCTGTGCTCTAATGGGGAGGACAGCTTTGGGGTCAATGAGACCAGTCAGTTTTCTTCATTGCAGGACTTCTCAGAACCTTGAACGTTCTACTGCACACGGTGGGTTTTCAGAAGGGACTCGTGTGAGCAGCATTTTCCAAGCGCCGATAACCTTTCTTCGCGGCATGTTTCTTAGGACTAGTGCCCTCCAGAACACACCTTAGGGAATGTGGAGTCCCTGCTTTTTCAGCACATTAGTCTAAACCTGGCCTACAGGAACAAGAAGGAAAGGGGAAAAGGAATGAAGAGTAACAGGTATCGGCGGCTGTGTTTTACCTGCATTATCTTCTCCGCATCCTCAGCATAACTCCACGACGTAGTATTATTGTTCCCATTTTCGAGAAGAAGAGATTAAGACTAAGCGAGTTTAAACTGCTTGTCCAAAGGCACTCGGCGCGGACAGGATTCCAGCACGGATCTGCCTGTCTGTCCCTAAGTCCCTGCTCTTCCCTTTGCTGTCCCGTTAGTTGGAAAGGGTTGTGTGAACACATTGTCCAAAAATGATAAACACTACCCCAACTGCCCCTCCCAAATAACTCCCTGACACAGCTCTGTCATTTCTGAAACACAAAAACAAAAATCAAAACAAGGAAAACAAAACAAAACAAAAGGCTCTGCCTTCATTAAAAAAAAGTGGGGGGAGGATTTCATACCAGTGACGGGCTGTCAATAAAAATAACAAAAGAAGGGGAAAAAAGAAGACATTCCTCAGAAGGGTGGAAAGTGGCTGAGGCCAGTGGGGGAAGGGACACAGGTAAATTTTACCAAAAAAATTCTCACAACCTGGGTGAAGGTGGAAACACCCCCTCTCCCCATGCAGAGATAATCAGATACTTATGAATTTTCTTTTCTTTTTATACATATTTAATTCATTTACTTAGAGACTCAAGTTCCATGTAGAGGTAGGTCCTTAAGTGATCCCACAGTCAGTCCTCCAACTGCTGCCCCCGCGGTCAACTGAAAGGGCCCCCAGTCGTGCATAATAGGGGATAGTAGGTACCCCTCAACCGGGAGAGAGAAGGCCAGAGGTTAAAGCGTTGGTGAGGGCTCCTCTCCTGGCTCTGTCCCCTGACCCACAGCTTAACTTCTGTGGCTGCTTAGCTGCAATCATGCCATGGGCTGTGGAGATAGTAACAGGCAGACTGTTTATAAATCATTCTGAGCTGCTCAGATGGGGACAGCCAGAAAGACAGCACGCTCAACACTGGAAAACGAAGGGAAAACTACTCTTGGCACACCAGCTTCGGGATCCCTAGAGAAGCGAGGCTGAGAGAATGATCAAGATAAGACTCGTTTTCCTGCCCAGTAACGAGGCTCCTGCGGGAGGGGACCCGAAAAGGCTCTTCTACCGCGAGCCGGTGATGTGGTGGGTGCAGCCCTGGGAGGCGAACTCAGCAGCTGCGGGTCCGGCTGACCATTTGAATGGCCAGGTGAGCCGAGAGGGGTGTGGCCAGTGGGAGGCCACCTGCCGGCCAGAGCGGGATGAGGGCCTGGTGTTTCCAAACCCTCTGATGTGTTTAAGAGGAGGTAGAACTGTGGGGCTTTAATGCTTACTCTTCTGATAGCTAAATGCTACAACTAATTAAAGAAGAGGCCGAATGAGGGCCAAACAAACACAAGCTGTTTGTGGCCTAGTCTGGCCTCTGGGACACAGCCGTTTTGGCACCTCTGATGTGAAGGGAAGAGCTTTGACCTGCAAGTCCTGCGAACTGGATTCCAATGCCATTGGGTTCTGCATCCTAACCCACTGGGCGACGCTGGGAAACACTTCCCCCACCGGGACCTTCGGTTTCCCATCCTCAAATGAGGACGCAACCAAAGAATCCCTTCCAGCCTCGCAGCTTTCAGGGATCAGGTTAGCGTCAGGACAAAACAATATATATAATATATAATTTCAGAGCCCCTTGGAATGAGAATACAGACTCTGATAATCCCAAGATGGCTGCATCTCCATCACTTAACTCAATCTCACTGACTAGATGCTCACCAGTGAGCAGCCATGAAAAATCCTTTTCTCTCCTGGATGTGCCTGGTCCTGGTGGGCACAGTGTGGCTCTTAGGGGCAGACAAAGTGGGATTGTACCTCCCACTGCCTGGATGGCCTTGACTCACTCCCTCTGTCCACACCTCACGGGACAGGGGTGACCATGAAGCCAGTGTGGGTCCCTTCCTCTTCCCTCTCACCCCTCCTAGTTCTTGAGAATCACAGACTGTTCGAACTGAAAGGAGCCACAGAGAACGCGCATCCATCGCCACCGTTATTTCACACGCGGGGAGACTGAAGCCCAGAGAGGAGGAGGGCCTGGAACGTTGTGCCCCAGTTCAGTGATTTCCCACAGCAAGGCAAAGAACTCAGCACATACTCATTGACGGACTTGCTTCCAAGGTTAGACACTTCTTACTGTTTACTTCGGGCACAGGAACTGCTAATTAAGGATTCAAAGAAGCCAGGGCTGGGCTCAGTGAACTCGGGGATGGTCTTGGTGGCTGGCTAAGGATGAGAAAGCACTGCAGAGAAGGTCTGATGGATTTGCATTTTCCGTCGACATTGTTTCCCTGGGTTCTGAGAATTAACTTACTTTTACAGCCTGGCGAGCCAGGGATGAAAAGGCCCTCTCAGGGTGAAATACAACGAGTGATACGAAGGATTGCGACAGACTTTGCACAACAGAAGCTAGAGACAGTGGGTGCAAAACAATGTGGGTTTTGCAACCACCTTTTGTGTCCTCTGTGGTAGCAGGGGCGTGGGAAAGGCTGGGGTCCCCCTCCCCACTCCTCTTTCCTCTCCTGCTCCCAGGTATACAGGTCAGGGCTGAATTGCCTTTCAGAGGGCCTCGCTCGGGGCGGGGGGGGGAGCCCACAGAGACCCCAACTCTTTAAACAAATGTCAGAGATGATGTGGGACCCTGAACCAGTCCTTCCGCTTGTGAAAACCCAGAGGGTAACATGGAAGTTTGGACACTGGATGTACCAGATGAGCCCCGAGGCTTCTCTCAGCTCAACTCTAAGAACTTTATGCAGAATTCTGTGCAGAAAAGCACCACCATCACATCAGAAAGTGGTGATAAATACTCTCTATCAGTACATTATCTTTGCACAGTGCTTAATAGTTTGTAAGAGCACTTTTGCCTGCAGTGCACCATTTAATCCTCACGACCGCCCTATGGGGTAGATATTATCACCCGTTTTTATTCCAAAACAGACAACTGAGACTCAGAGAAGTGAAGCGCCTTGTCCAAGGACACAGTCAGGAAGGGGCAGATTCAAACCCAGGTAAGAGTATCATTAAAGCTCATATTCTTTCTAGGAAACAGCATCCTCTCTTAGCTCCAAACTAGGTGCATTAACAGATGCCAGATCAAAGGTACTGATGGAGCAATGTCATGCGGTTAAAAGACAGACACCGAGACCACTGGGAGAATCTCTCAGGAGCTAGGTGTGGGGAAGACACAGAGGTTTACCCAACCCTGAAATATACAGTGCAGTGGGATGAAGCAAATAGTAGTCCCCCGGCATCCCCCTAAATTTAGGAGGGTTATGACTCTTGCCTGTGCTACTTAGGAAGCAGAACATTCCAGTATTTCAGAGCTGAAAGAGAGCTAAACCACCCCTCCTCTCTTCATTCCGACGAGGATGCTGAGGCCCGGAGAGGGAAAGTGATGTTCCCAGGGTCATCCTGCGGGCCGCCGCCAGCTCTGGGACTGCGAGCCAGGTGAAGGAGGTCTTCCTTCCACAACATCTTCCTGCTGCCCTCCCGCACCCCTGGAATTCAGAGACGTGTGGGCCTCCCGAGCCCAAAGGCAGAGTTGACCAGAGGCCAGAGGATAGGGAAGGGAGAAACACACAGACTTTGTACTGCAACACACATGGCTGCCCGGTTCCAGAAGCCCTTCTCCACTTGGCTACAAAACGGCCCAGGGCGAGCCGACCCAGGGTGCCTTACCTCTGCTCGGCAGAGCTGTAGGTCTCCCCTCTCTGGCAGCTGCTCAGGGTGACGGGGTCAAAGTTGTCGAAGGAACGGAGGGCCACCCCCGAGATGGCAACCAAGGGTGAACTGAAGCTCACACGTACCGCCTGGCTGTGGTAGAAGGGCTGGCTGAGGTCGTGGACCACAGGGATAATCAGGGGATTGTTCCTGCAGCTCAGAACATGGAGGCCTGTCAGGGGAGACAGAGGGCCGAGGGGCCAGGCTCATTACTCACGGCCAGTCACGCCCTCCCCAACGGGCCCTTCCCGAAGCCCCCAGACCCTTTCATGTCACTGCACAAAAGCACCATTGGGTGGCCAGTGGGGATTTTGAGTTTGATTGAAAGTTTCTTTGTCTGCCTTTTTCTCTTGGTTCCAAATCTTCCCAATCCCCTTGCCTCACTGCCCCCTAAGCTTTCCCTTCACCTAGAGCTCACAGCCCCTCCCCCTCCCCCAAATGGCCACCCCTTGGCCAAGCACCACTGGCCCTCACTTCCCTCCCACATTGCATGAGGGCTTGCTGGTCCGAGTTGCTAGTTTTCAGGCTGCCTTCCCGGTCTGGCATATAAATGATGGAAATAATTCACAGAAATAAGTCATTCCCGGGGTAAAAAGCCTACTCTCATTTTTAATCTAGGAATCTGGGAGCAGCTCTTGTGAGGTAAGAACCTCTGTCCCCACTCTGCAAAGAGGAGACAGAGAATCATGACCAGGAGGTGGCTTTCCAGAGGGAAACAGAAAAGCAAGCCATATAAAGTACAAGCAAAGTCCAAACTTGCTTCACCCTGAAGCTCTCAGTCCTTTCTAGAAGTCCCCAGGCTTCAAAAAGGAAGTGGGGGGCTTCCCTGGTGGTGCAGTGGTTGAGAGTCCGCCTGCCGATGCAGGCGACGCGGGTTCGTGCCCCGGTCCGGGAGGATCCCACATGCCGCGGAGCGGCTGGGCCCGTGAGCCATGGCCGCTGAGCCTGCGCGTCCGGAGCCTGTGCTCCGCAACGGGAGAGGCCGCAACGGGAGAGGCCGCAACGGTGAGAGGCCCCGCGTACCGCACACAAAAAAAAAAAAAAAAAAAAAAAAAAAAAAGGAAGGGGGGAGGGAGACGGACGGGAGAAAAGGTACATCAGAAGGGGAGGGAAGGGAATGATGGGGTGGGTTGGAGTTCAGTAAAACTGAAGCTGGCTTTGGTGTCTGATGGACATCAGTTCAATTTTTGGCTTAGCCATTTCTTTACTATGTGAATCCACCAAAGCCCTAACACTCACTCACTCGGTGCCTGCAACTAAAGAATGGGATGATCCTAACCATGTCCTGGGATGCCTCCCCTTCTGGGACATGAGGCTCCCAGTCCAGCAGGTCCCCTTCTGTGGTCTACTGTCTTAGAGCTGCAGAGCCTCTGCAAGGGGTGCCAGGATGCTGAGGACACAGGACAGGAGACCCAGTGGGGAGGGACATGTGGACACCCCAGGCATCAACTAGCAGGGTCTAAGGACCTTCGCTGGAACCTGACTCCTCCCCACTCCTCTGAAAGTCTCTCCGCAGAGCCCTTCGTGATGCCAGGACAGCTATGAAAATATTTGCTTCTCACTTAGGGACATTTCCCAGGAATCCAGATAAATCCAGAAGGGTTTTCTTCTTCTTATTAACGTGTTTCCCCCCTTGCCTTGAAAACTAACCAAATAAGTAAACATGAAAACAAAACAAACCCCCTCCTCCTGCCTTGGCTTCTGCTTGACCCCGAAGTGACCCCTTGCATGCTTGCGTCCTACGGGTCTTTGAAGTGAGCTCCCTGTGGAATACGGTGCGGGCACAGCTTTGAAGCCAGCACTTCAGCGCTGGCTTGGAATTCCAAACTCCTGGCCTGGCTGCCCAGAGGTAGACGGGGCAGGGTGTCTGGGAAGTGTGGGAGGGGGTGATGGGACTTCCTGAGCGCTGGGTGTTGTGCTCTGCACGGGTCACAACATCTCAAGTAATGGCTCATTTACTATCACGGACGGACACCACGGCTATAGGGTAAAGCACAGCAGGCGATGATTCTGAAAGCCTGGCTCCCCGGCTCTCCTGCTGGCTCCTCCCATGTGACCCGGGCCTCTCGATGCCTCTCTTTGGGTCTCGGGTGATGACACACATAATGGGAAAGAACCTTTACTCAGTCTCCCTCCCAGGGTCTTTTGAGAATCTCATGGGATGCCTGAGGGTAAAGGCGTTGGGTAGGAGGGAGCTATTGAAAGGAGGACTTAGACGTGAACCCCTTATGCCCGAACCTGTCAGATTCGGGCTTCTCTGGATACACAAACACATCCTGATTTGAAGGCAACCAGAATGGCAAATAGAGAAGCAAGAAAGAGGAAAGGGGAGGAAAGCACTCATCCTCGGCCGATGCTTACAACCACCCGCAGGCACATGGAGAAGCAGGTACCGAGAGCACGCCGCACCTGAGGGCAACGCTCACCTAGATCGTGGCTCTGGTCTTTGGTGTCAAGCAGCTGGACGCTGATGGTTTCCTGCTTTTGATCCCCATAATAGGTCCCATCGGTCACCAGGTGGACAATGACAGCCGCAGCAACCATTGGCTGAGAAAAGTACGCCTGAAATGCAGACGACACAGGAGGCTCACTCACGCAGCCAGGCGTGCGGCGTGGAGGCAGCCACGGGGCGGGGGTTTTAAGGAGAATCTTCCATTTCAGGAGCTGGACTACTTATCACGGTGCCATGGTGGGAACAGGTGGGCAGTGATACCTCAGCGTGAAGCGCACAGGCTCTGAGCCGACGTTCTAACGCTGGCTCTGCTCTTTCCAAGCTGTGTGATGTCCACTGGTGGCTGTGCTGCTCTGGGCCCAAGTTCCCTCACCTCCAAGTGATGGATACGTAAATAGCTACATCACAGGATGGCTGGGAGGCTCCAGTAAGATACTGATAATAAGGGGTCTGGCATACATTAAAACCACGCAAAATGGTACTTATCATTATTCATCACTTCTCCATGCTAACTAACCTCTGTACTACGCGCCGAGGAGACAAAGGTAAATAAGATATATGCCCTTGCCTTTCTGTGGACGGTGGAGTGCAATGTAGGTCAGTAACACACAAATCAAAACTTGAAACAATCACAATCCACAGTCAGGAAGATGGGCCTATAGACAGCTACGGAATACCACGGCACTTGACAAGAGCCATCCAATAGATGACCACGCGTGGAGGACCAGAAGGGAAAGGACAGTCCCTTCTCTCCATGGGGGTCAGCGAAAACTTCAAGGAGAAGGCAGTTTAAAAGGCCTTGAACAATGATGGTCTTCCAGGCAGATAAATGGTATCTAAACTCTTGGCCAAAATAAGAGTGACTGAAGGCATCCCATGAGCAACTAAGGGATTTCCATTCCAGGAAGCATCCCGCTGCTAAGTGTTTTCTTCTCTGTCCTTACAATTAACACCCTCAGTGGGTAGACAAAACCACCTTGAGAAAGGGTCACAGGAGGCAGTGCCTCCTGGGGGCCACTGCTGGAGAATCTAAGGCTCTCAAAGCTTTGACTTACCCGGAGCCAGAAAGTGGTCTGAGCCAGCTGGGAGTACGGGTAGCTGATGGTGCAAGGGTACCAGGCATGCTGGGAAATGCCTTCACTGAGATCTATCACCTTGGTTCGACACACCTGGAAAAAGATAAAGGGAAACAAATGTTTTAGAGGGTCTCAGAGGTTGAGTTAAATTCAACGCGACAAAACTTTGCTATCCACCTATTTTGTTCTTGACACTCTGCAGGAAGAAAGAGGGATGAACTGACAAGAGTCTATTCCAGGAGCCCACATTCTAACGTAGAAGAGAAAATCTTCAATGTTATTAAGGAAAGGACAGGTAACACGTCTTGGTGGTAGAGATGTCAGAGACATTCTCGTGGGGACGAGTCCTGGAAGAGTTGACATTCGAGTTGGGTCTGGAAGAATAGGGTAGCTACGAAAGGAAGGGCATTGCACATGCAGGGAATAGAAGCAAGGGCTCAGAGGAAAGCAGAAGCCCAGAATGATTAGTGACAAGCTGCCTGGTATAACAGAGCTTGGGGAAAGTGGCATCAAAGGCAGGCCTGAGGGGCTTGGATCTCACAGACTCTTGAATACCAAGCAGACCACTTTAGAGCAAATCCGTAAGTTGTGCTCAGAGCTATATTAATGACAGAACAAAGACTACGACAATGTGAGCATTTGCTTTTTCCCCAAAGAAAATCAGCTCTACATTTGTATAGATTTGCGCGCGTGCACGCGCACACACACACACACACACACACACACACACACACAGGTTCATTCTCAATGACAGATACATCAAATGGTATTAAAAGAAACATGAAACGTGTATAGACAAGTAGTATTGTTCAAACTGACGAGTATCTCATGTATCCAAATGTCATTTCATTCCATTGGTTCATTCATTCATTCCAATAACATTTATTGAGTAACTGCTATTTGCCGAGCACTCTGGGACGAGACGGCAGACGGGTCAGATGCTACGGAGCTTAGAGTGACGGTGCGTACAGACATTCATCAAGTAATCGCATATGCATACATTACTGTAAACTGACGACTAGGAAAGAGCTGTGATGGAAAAGGAGAGGAAGAGCCGAGATGTTCTTGAAGTTGGTCAGACTTTTTGCAGAAGGTCAGCCCACATTAGAGTTTTTCCTCGGACCTCTGATGTGGCTCCTCTGTCCAATCTTCCCCAGGAATTTGGGCCTGTCATTCCACACCTGCAGGCCTCAGGCTACGGATCTAAAAAGTAAGGCCCACCTTAAAGGACTCTAAGGTCTTATAAGCTATGAAAAAAGGTGAGATAATCCAATCTCAATCATATAAAACAAACATACACATGTAAAACAGAAAGAAAGGGAAGGGCTTCCCTGGTGGTGCAGTGGTTGGGAGTCCGCCTGCCGATGCGGGGGACGCGGGTTCGTGCCCCGGTCCGGGAAGATCCCACATGCCGCGGAGCGGCTGGGCCCGTGAGCCATGGCCGCTGGGCCTGCGCGTCCGGAGCCTGTGCTCCGCGACGGGAGAGGCCACAACAGTGAGAGGCCCGCGTACCGCAAAAAAAAAAAAAAAAAGAAAGGGAAAAATATATATATACAAGCGTCAAGACTACCCATTCCAGCCATGTCTATAGTAGCAAAAGGTCAGGGAGAGTTTATATGTTCACCTATAGAATATGATATATTCATATGATAGGATTCTGTAAGCAAAAGAGTATTAAGAGGGCTGAACGGGATTCAAATGTAGCGATGATCCTAACAATATTTAACACCTGGTTCAGTAGGGACCCTGGCCAAGCAAAATGGAAGCCCTATTTGAGAGTTCATAGATCTCAACATGGGGAGATTGCAGAGGCATAACACTGAGTGACCAAAAAAGAACAAGGTGTAAGTGGATTATGACGCTATTTATAATAACCATGCAAAGCGAGACTATACCCAGGGATTCGTATACATGAGTGCAGAAGAATTAAAAATAGCATGGAAAAGTTACACATCAGATTCACTTATCAAAGTCAAGCTGAAAGACATGGCTGCACTGTAATCCACAATTGCAAGATGCAATGTTTTTGTTTTTTTAAATAAACTTTCTGTTTTGGAGTAATTTTATATTTACAGGAAACTCACAAAGGGAATACCAAGAGTTCCATATATGCTTCACCCAATTTCCCTTAAAGTTAACATCTTCAGTTTATTCTTGAAACCTCCAATAGAAGAAGAAAAGTTTTTTGTCACCTGGGAAGTTCTGCAATGGTGAGCTGGATTAGAGACTTGGTTCTGGTTCAAACTCCCTCACAATTTGATGTGTGATTGTGGACTAGTTATCTCCGCTCTGTGGACCTCGGTTTACCTTTCACATCTGAATGTTGGATTGGGTCATAGGTTTTCAAGGTGTTGCCTATGGATTCCTAGGGTTGCTTGGAGGTGTCAGTCTGAGGGTCAGGATGTGAGAAGATGTACTTAGCTTCTGCTCCATTGTTTCAACCAGAGTATCTTCACTCAACTGTTTTATATATCAAGCTGCCTTGTAATGTTTCATGAGAGCTTCACTGCTTTAAAAACACTGAAAAGTACTGAAACTTGTTCATTGCCAAAGTTTCCCTCCCCCCTCCCCAAGGTGTCAGTGGGTCCTGGGAATACAGTATTAGTTTCCTGAACGTCACAGGTAACGTCCTAAGGAGAGTAAAAGTGCCAAGAATCAGCCCATCTCACTGGCCGGGAATTAGGTGTCGGCTTCGGTTACTCACATCTCTAGAAGCCTAATACCGAGGAGACTTACGGGTAAAACAAGCCACTTTAATGCGCTGGAAGACGTTTTTCAAGTTTATTTATTTTTTCTCGAAAACAACTGAGACTGAGCTCATGCAGCTCTCTGCCAGTGGATTGTGTTACATTTTTACAACAGTGCGAGACTTCGCATAAACTATCTATGGCATTTGAAATCCAGGCCAGCAATTTGACATGTATCATTTTGGAATTCTTTCCCCTTGTGTTCTTAGCTGCCTGTCCCCCAGCAGAGAGAGGTGGAGCACATCTCTGGAGTGCTAGGGCAGGGGGCTTATCTCTGCATCTACAGCATTCACAGTCAGAGAAGTCTCGGACTTGAACAAAGCCCTCTCGCTACTTAAACACAGTTTCCTCTTATCTTGCCAGCTCTATCAGCACTAGACAGGACTTCAGAGGAACGTGCTGCTGTTATTTTATTCTCCTGGTTTCCTATTTAGTTTTGTGTTTGTTTCAGGCTGGCTGCGATCCTGACCAGGGACAGTCAAAGTAGATCAGAGAGGAACAAACAAATCCAGTGGAACCTTTGCCCAAAGCCCCAGCTGATCTTAAAACCATCTGTGTTCCTGGGGAGGTGCGGGGAGGCTGCAAACACTCACAAGCCCCCAGCTTTCACAGACCTTGCATGAATTTGCTCATTCAGCAGCCATTTAGGGAAGACGAATGGCACACAAGGCTCTCGCTGAGAGGAAAAGAGCCTTGCCTTTGGCCAAAAGGATGGTCACACACCTAAGTGTGATCCCAAGGTACCTGGTTCTGTGGGGATGCCCTGCTTTCATCCGCCCACTTTTTTGCACCTTCTAAAAAAGCAAATCCAATTCCATAAAATATTACTGAGCAGTGTAGACTTTACTGAACATTCTGTAGGGGAACGAGCAGGAGAGTTACATCGCACACCCCATGTGGACTCAAGCTCTCACACCATCACCCCAAGTTCCTCCTCACTCACCATCACCTTCGCCCAGTTTCTTCAGTGACCTTTCCAAGCTCTCCCACTCCCTCTCCCTTCCCAATCTGCACCTCTCTCAAATCCCAGGCAGAGCCGTTCTGTTCTCCCTCCCATTCTCTGACACACAAATCCTTCACATGATGCCAAGGGCTCTACCTTGCCGCCCCCAGCCCCAGAGATGTCAGGGGGGTGATAAGAGTAACCTTTTTAGCCTCTCTGTCATGCTGCTATGAACAAGATCTGCTCCTTCCCTATACACCACTCACTGGTTTGTGGAATACATCACGGAGGCTCTAGAAACATATTGGCAGCCTCTAGGCTTCAGGTTCTTCTAGGAAGATCAGGAGGGGGTCTCCTCTAGCTGAAGCTGATCTTTCTGCACTGCCCACTCCCAAGTGCATTGCAGCATTATTCACAATAGCCAAGATGTGGGGACAACCTAAATGTCATCAACAGATAAATGGATAAACTAAATTTGGTACATGCAGGCAATGGAATATTACTAAGCCTTTAAAAAGAAGGAAATCTTGCCATATACGACTACATAGATGAATCCTGAGGTTATTCTGCTAAGTGCAACAAGGCAGTCACAAAAGGACAAATACTGCATGATTCCGCTTACATGAGGTAACTAAGATAGTCAAACCCACTGAATCAAACAGTGGAACGGTAGCTGCCAGGGGCTGTGGGGAGAGGAAAAAAGGAGTTGCTAATCAACGTATAAATCAACAAAAAGTTTCAGTTAAGCAAGATGAATAAATTTTAAAGATCTGCTGTACAACATTGTACCTATAGTCAATAATATTGTATTGCACACATAAAAACTTAAGAGGGTAGATTTCTTTTAAAGTGTTCTCATCACAATAAAATGAAATAAAACAAATATGGTTTTGAATGACTAAGATATTGATATTTACTGAATTATTGAATACACTAATAAATAAATGATCCAGTGAAGGGGCAAAAAGAGAAAGTCATATAACGTTGCTATAGGCAAAGAGCAGATGTGGTGGGGCTTGCAAGCACCCTCATTTAGGTCTTTTCAGGGTTGGAGGAGGAATTACCCAGCATCTTCTTGATTACTTCATGGACAGAGAACTCACTTCCATTTACAAACAGCCCAGTTTACCTTTGGACAGATTCTTCCCAACAGCCAGGGGAATATGTCTGGTTGCACTTTCTCCTCCTCTTTTCTCTAAGCAGCAACACTTACACGCTTCCTTATTTTAGAGTTTTAGAGTGAGAAAGACTTAAATAGGTTATCTGCTGAGACCATTCCCTTTCCAGTGGTCAAGGGAGGGCAGGTGTCTTGCACAATATAAGACAGCAAGTGGCAAAATTAATATGAAAGTACAAATTTTTCTGGTTCCCAGAACTGATGCCCTGCCCTCACCTATGTTCTG